CCCCTCCCCCTACACCTCTTTCGGCACAGGACGACTAGTGCATTCTGTTTGCTCAGTTAGTTATCTACCATGTTACACCACCGTGCCGATGGCCCTGGTTCGAATCCTAAACTGCTTGCTTTTCGTCAGTCCTATCTCAGGTATATATAATATCAACACGGTCTTTTTCCTGTGGGTAGTTTGCGGGTGCTCTGGAGTGGTTTGCTTCTTCTTTCCTACAAAACATTTATCGCCCTTATCGCTCCTCTTTCTTTTTGTGTTTTTAAAAGTTTTATTAGAGGTTTTACGACGGCGCTCGCAACTGCATAAGGTCAAATGAGCGCCAGAAGATTAGAGATGTTTCAAGAGAGTAACAAACATAAAAAAGAAGAAGGGGAGATAAGGACGATAGATGTCTGATAGGAAAGAAGAAGCAAACCACACCAAACAACCCACTTTTTGTGTTTATTAATCTCTTGTGCCACCTCTGATCTTCGGCACTTAAATGACCAACTTGCACTGCAAACGCCGTGTTACTCTTTTACTAAAATATAACACAAACTTTTTCACAAACCCAATCAGGAACACCTAGCATCAGGAATACGTAACAAAGAACAAAATCCCATGACGTAAGTCAGATAGGTGTTGGTCTTGACACCTCTAGAGCTCAAAACAAATTAATAACATTGGGAGATGGGAAATTCTGCGAAATTGGATAGCTAGCTGGATTCTTCCGGGTACGTGGCCGTGAACTCTGACGGTACTGACCCAATTCTGAAACCCATGAACTCTGAACCTTCTCCTAAACCTTGAACTCTGAACCTTCTCCCAAACCCGTGGACTCTGACCCTACTCTCAAACCCATTACATGTATAACGAACTCTGACCATACTCTGAAACCCATTATTAGGAACTATTATTAGGAACTCTGACCCTACTCTCAAACCCATTATTAGGAACTCTAGCCCAATTCTCAAACCCACTACACCAGGAACTCTGACCCTATTCTCAAACCACAACACCCACCTACCTACCCTCCTGTTTGATTGTTTTAGTAGAGGTTTTACGGCGCTCGTAACTGCATACGGTCATAAGTCATAGGAGCGCCAAACACCCACTTACCATATTTCGGTCAAGTTCCACA